TCTCTTTTTTCTACATAGTATACATACAGTACTGTGCATTGTACTACCCTTCATTTCCACTTGGACGTAGTGTACGTTAATCGAGTGAAGTAACATTCAAAACAGGACTACTCTTCCATACAACATCAATAGAGGGATTTGGCGATACTACAAAAGTAATACTAAGGATCACAAAGTAAAATGACGATTCACAGGGAGACTGCGCCCAAAGCGTAAGCGGTTTACAATGCGTCATAATAAGCTTTCTCAAGATATTCAATGCACTATTTATGACTATAGTTTAGTAAGCATAGTACAATGCAGAAGCAACATAAACGCCATAGAATAAGATATTCTATGACTATAGTTTAGTAAGCATAGTACAATGCAGAAGCAACATAAACACCATAGAAGTCAAATTTGACTGTATTATCTTATTTGTACAGAAAGTACAGTACATACAGAATGTAGAACCGTACTTAATACTAGTATTCCAGTACGTACATTACAACGTACAGCAGTACATAGAAGATACTACAAGTACGTACTAGTACATGTAGGTGGGGGGGTATGTACTACTTCGAAGTATTATAATAATAGTACTATTATTAATAATAGTCTACTGTACCTAGTAGTAGTATTTCCAGGAGTGTAATACAGTAGTACTAGCAGTACTTACTAGTATTTGTAGTACTACGTAGTACTTGAAGTACATACTACAGTACTACAGTTGTACTAAATAGTACTAGTACTACTAGTAGTACTGTATTTCCATGGAGTCGGTGTATTCATTCTGTACTATTAATACTAGTACTTCAGTACTAGTATTAATATCAATATTTATACCTAGTATTACTAATAATAGGCACCCCAGTACTAGTACTACTACTATTAATATGTAGTACTATGTACTAGTACACTGTACTATTAATAGTAGTGCTATTTATAGTAACTTACCGTTAGTATCAACGTAGTACTACTGGCTGTAGTATACAGTAGCGCTCCTTAGTATTAGTACTACTAATAGTACAACGTAGTACTGACACTGGAATTGAGTGGTCTATTCAACGAATACGTACCGGGGGGGACCCCTGGTAGTATAAATAACGTTACTACTACGTAGTATTAATCGAAGGATATGATGAACACAAGGAGACTGCGCCCAAAGCGTAAGCGGTATACAATACACCTTACTTTTGTGTTGTGCTTTGTACTAGTAACTATTGATTGTGTAATTAAGTTTCTGGAAATGACTCGGTGAGTTCCTTGAAATGACTGAGTGATTTCCGAAGTCGTTCAGTAGATAAGAATTGATTGAACAGTTCATGCCATGACAGTATCAATTATTAACAGTAAGTGGTGAGATATTTGTTAGGGTTTCAGCATTAACAGTAAACTAACGTTAATGATATGGTGGAAGCACCAAATAACTTTGGAACGTGTACCGTCCAATTGTAAATTGCACGAACTATCGACAAACATATACTTCGAAGTAATCACTGATTTTGAGGCCTATTTGAACCCTTCTGTCATTCCCGTGGCGCCATCCTCAATGCTGTTTTCATTGCGCCGTGTAAGGAACCTGACTTTATCCACCTCGTCAACTTCCATATCTACTTTCACTTCGTGTTATGGTATTTGACATGATCCCTGTGAGGTGAGTTTTAGGTCGCAGGATGAAGATTGCAGTTGTTGGTGGCTGTCCAAAGCACTCATTTCATTCATTCACCAGAATGCCCACGTTAAACGTTTAGTTCACGAAGAACAAGTCGGGTAAATTGCATCGCATCATTCGTACATTAAGCGAAAGCGTTCGTAGGACTCTGCGGAATATTGAAAACCGACTTCCTGAAGTCTTGGGGGACTTGGCTTTCAGACTCGGCCCCACCGCAGAGTGCAATGCGGCGACCCAAGCGTTCATCCCTTGTTCTGACAAGGCTGCGATGACAATGCGACGCTTGGTGGTGGTCTTGATAGCAATGCGATACACGCTGGTGAGCCGATTGCCAGACTGCGGGCAGTCCAAAGGCATCACTTCCATGCCATAACATTGGGCCAAGTCCACTTGGCCGGTGAACGATCCACCTTTGGCGGCGTAATACTGCAAGACGTTGTCTGTTGTGAGCTCCACGTAGCGCAGTTTCCAAGTTCCGCGACCAAAGAGTCCGTCTTCGTGTTGCCCTTTGGTGAACACAAGGCCACTCCGAACCACGGAATGTTTGGCAGTAGCAACAGCGTCAGAGGTTTCCATCTTGACAAATGCAAACTGAAGGTTTGGCGGACTTGGTTTGACATAAAGTTGAAGTCAATGAAGTTTTCGGTACTGTACGAACAACGCATTCAATTCTGCGTTCTTGCCACAGCACAAAAAATGACCAAGGGATCAAATTAGCGCCAACGTTTATGTACTTGCACACGAAGTGTCCTACGAGCCCCAGATTGCAACATTTATGCATATACTTGTGCACAAGGCAAGACGGCATGCTTGAGTTAATGCATGCATTGGACCACCATAATTGTGAAGGTCTGGTTGTCCACAGGAAATCTAAACGTAAGTTCACTTGAGTCATTCATCGTACTAGTACGTAATTTGAACTAGTGTTCTGAAGGCAACTTCACTTGCTTACTACTTCGAAGTATTAATATTGATAGTACTTGTACTCCAGAGTACTGTACTATTTCTGGTATACTAGTACGGAGGTAAGGTAAGTGTGGGTGACAGTTCGATGGTTCTACGTACAGTGCTTCCGTACCATTAATAGTACAGTACTCCTAAGACTAATAATACAAAGTACTCCAGTACTGTAGTAACGTTACAGTTGTTGAACATCAGGTTGCGAGTGAAGTGGCATTGTATCGATGCAGTTTCATTGTAGAGGCATTAAACAGATCAAATGGGAATCGGCAGACTCAATTTTTGGCAGTCACTTCAGTCACTTGCTCACTGTTGGTGACTTGAAATCTTTGTGACGTCGTTCAATGCCAACACGTATTAACGCTAGGGAACGTGTTACGGCGCGAGTCGAATACTGATACGTCTCTAGTTTGCACCACGCTGAAGTTGTTGCAATAAACATCATCCAGTGGCTCTTGCTGTTTGGAACATTGCTCTGCCCCGCGCAAGGGCAGGCGTGGGTTGAAGGGGGTCGAAAGAACAGGACTTGGGGGAGACGAGACTTGATCCACCCACAAGTTGAAATTCTGTGTTTAGGGTAAGCGGTTACAACAGGTTATAGTTTTATAGAGTATACACTTCTGCTGTGGAAATATGTTCACCGCGTATAACCCTCGACACAACCCAATATGACCGGTGTCGACAAGGGTACTTCAAACACAGTCTTGAAAAAAATGGCAATAGAGACCTTTAGCATTATCAACGACTACTTAATACACTGAATTGGCATTTCATTAACGTGACGGAAGGGTTAGTTTACAGTACTACTAAGGTAATGCATCAATTATTGACACTGTTTTTGGTCCAGTTTTGGCCATGACTTCAAAGCCCAGTAGCTCGAGAACGAGAACGATTATTTACTGTTAATGCTGATAGCACCACAAGAGAATATAAAACGCCACCATTTTTTTGACGTATCATTGAGCATGATTGGACTACATTTCAGATTTGTATTGAAATTAAATGTTTTGAGCTTTATGGTCACGACTTTTTGAGGTGAACCAATTCATGACGCTTCTTAAAAACCTTGATGTTTGTATTCCATTAAATTAATATGCAAAATAATTGGATCAAATATATAATTGCATGCATTTCGCAATACGTAATAAAATTTTACATGAATTTAATTAGTCAGCGTAAAAAATGCAGTCACATTTTAATTCACTGCTGTGGATCACAACTGTAGAGGTATAGTGGAGGCCATCCACTCGTTGCGAGGAGTAATACGCTGATTCGTCTTCGTCAATGGTAGCGATGGCTCTAAAGTGAATACTTCCATCTATCACGTAGCTATGCACGACTGCTGTGACGCTCTCATAGGCATATATGGCAGGACGGCTTCAAGGGTTTCTAGTTGACATTCTATTTAAATACTTGTATTTTTTTGTTTGAGATTGAAAAAAACTGACCAGACTTCAACATTAAGACGTGTAATAAAATATAGCGATGAATATTATCATACCCAATCATACAAGGCCAACACAAAATATCGAGATGCTATTGGCTAAAAGTCAGACAGTCTCACAATTTCGAGCCGTGTCAATTGTACTTCGAAGAACTGTAGTACAGTACCAGTACTACGTAGTATATGACAGTGGTTTTGATTCCAACAAATACTATACGTATGGACGCAGTTCCGTGACACTTTTTGGGACCCTTCGATGGAGGGGTTCCTTTACTCCAAATTGCTATTATAATAGTGTTTCTTAAAGAGGAGAATTAATGCAGTTCGTAGAACTTAAAATCATGTCGAAATTCGTATTAGTGTTGATGGAAAATGAATTAAAAGAGTGAAAATATCGATAGGCTGAAAACAGTTCCGAGGTTATCTGTCAAAAATTGCATCTGATTGGCTGAAAATTTCAGAGTGATTGTTTTCTACCAATCATGCATCGTGGCACGGAACCAAGTTGGCATGTAACTGTGCCCATACGTATAATAGACCTCTAACCCAGAGACTGAATGACTGACTAGACAAAAAGTAGTTTTTAATATTCTCATCATTCAGAGTGCATTCAAACTGACAAATACCCCACAGTTCGCCAAAAAAGTATGATGTTTTTGTAATGTAGTGACCCTTTTCCAAAAACATATTGAGGTGTTTCCAATGAAGAAATCCAATTTCTTACCTAATTGTATTACTTTGTAAGGTAATTCTATGATGTGTGGCGCTTTAACTAAGAGCATCCCCACCGGCTGATGTAGAAATGTAAAAATCTTCAAAGTACATCACTATATCAGCAAAATTTACATTTTTCAGCCCCACACCGGTTGCCAATAAATTTTACATCATGATGTAAACGCTCCATAAACACAGATTTCTCAACAGATCTGTTGGGTCATTTACAGTTCTATGCGATTGAGGTCCCAATGGACTTCTTCAACGAAGCATGCCATCCCGATGTCCTGAAGCACGCCGGCAGCATGAATATGAATCTTACAGACAATAGAATGTACGCCAACCCTGCTGCACTAGATTCTCCACTGGCGAGAGCTCCAAAACCTCAATCGCCAGCGGGCGTCCAACACGAATTTGCTCCATCAGGACTACTATTTCCGCCAACCGGTGTGGATTGGCTGTGAAGTGATGTACTACTGTTACAGCACGCACCCAATAAACGGGTCTTTTCAGCTCTATGTTTACATCAGCCGGTGGGGATGCTCTTAGTACCAACTT